GGCCCTGGTCCTGGTCCTGCTCCTTTCTCTGTCTCTGGCACTAACCCCGGTCCTGATCCTGGCACTAACCCCGGTCCTGATCCTGGCCCTAACCCCTGGTCCTGGTCCTGCTCCTTTCTCTGTATCTGGTCCTGGCCCTGGTCCTGGTCCTGGTCCTGGTCCTGGTTCGGGTCCTTTCTCTGTCTCTGTCTCTGTCCATGGTCATGATCCTGGTCCTGGTTCTGGTCCTTTCTCTGTCTCTGTCTCTGTCCATGGTCCTGATCCTGGTCCTGGTCCTGATCCTTTCTCTGTCTCTGTCCTGGCCCTGGTTCTGGCCCTTTCTCTGGTCCTTTCTCTGGTCCCGGCCCTGGTCCTGGTCCTGCTCCTTTCTCTGTCTCTGGCACTAACCCCGGTCCTGATCCTGGCACTAACCCCGGTCCTGATCCTGGCCCTAACCTTGGTCCTGGTCCTGGCCCTAACCCCGGTCCCGGTCCTGGTCCTGGTCCTGCAGGTGGAGCCGTTTGCCAGCCTGGCGGGGGCGGTGCGCGGGGGCGTTCCGCGGCTCCTGGTGAACCGGGTCGCGGTGGGTCCGTTCTCCGGGCGGCGCCGGCCGCAGGACCTGCTGCTGCTGGGGGACCTGGTGGCCGGCGTGCGCGCCCTCGTGCACGCCATCGGCTGGACCCGCGAGCTGGACGCCCTGGAGGAGGCCGCCGCCCAGAAGGTGGGGCTGGGAAGGTTTGCTCTGATTGGTCAGAGTTTGGGGGGTCCAATCAGAGCTGCAGACTCAGTAAACTGATGTCAAAGCAGGCAAAGACACAAAATGACTCAGTTCAGTTTTATTTCTGTAGCCCCAAATCCAAACAACAGCTATTTATCTTATTTATCTTTAACCAGAGCAGCTCAGACTCTGAGTTATTCACAGAAGAACTACAGTTCCACCAAGACCAAGCACTAGGACACACAGGGAGGAAACAACTGCCTTTAGGGGGAATAACCTGAGGGGGGGGGGCAAGAGAGGCGGGATAGAGAGAGAGGGAGGGCAATAGAGAGGGAGAGAGGGCAAGAGGGAGAGACAGAGAGAAGTACAGAGGGAGAGACAGAGAGAAAGAGAGAGAGAGAGAGAGAGAGAGACCAAAAGCAGCACAAGGTGATACAGGGAGGGAAAAACTGCCTTAAGGAGGAAGAAATCTGGAGGAGGAAAAAGAGGGGGGGGGTAAGAGAGCGAAGGAGATGGAGAGAGAGAGAGGACAAGAGAGAGAGAGGGAGAGGGATAGAAAAAGAGACAGAGGGCAAGAGGGAGAAAGAGAGAAAGAGAGAGAGAGAGAGGACAGAGGGATTCAGCCTACACAGTAACAGACTGGATGGAGATATTGACAGTAATGATGATGATAGCAGGAATAACAGAGGGGGGGGGGGGGCAGAGGACTCGGGGAAAGGGAGAGAGTCCAGCTAGTGAGCAGTAAACGATGGAGCTCTGTCACAGGAAGTGAGTCCCAGAGAGGCTCTGAACCGGCCAGTGCTCTGTTTCCCTTCAGGACACAGAAGCAAAAGAAGAAGAGTGAGCGGTTTCAGGAGGCAGAAGAAGAAGAAGAGTGAGCGGTTTCCTGCCGGCTGACACTTTAAACCGGGACGGGGGCTCAGAGTATGAACCTCTAAGGCCACAAGAAGAAGCTGTTCTCAGTTAAATATCCTTAAACCAATCTGCCATGAGGAGGATTTACTGTAAGACCTGGAAAAATGTATATAAACACAGCAGAACCTCTAATTATGAGGCCTAGAAATAGGAATTATCCAACATATGAAGGGAAATTTGAACAAACATTCGACCTGACGACGTCTAAGTCAAAGAAAAAAATATATAAAATATTACAATTAAATACAAAATAAATAAGCTAGGTTGGTTTATGATGTTTAAGTCATAGAAAATATTAATAAAATATAAAAATGAAATAAAAATAAATAAGCTAGGTTGGTTTATGTCGCCAAAGTCCAAGAAAAAAATATATAAAGTATTCAAATTAAATAAAAAATAAATAATCTCAGTCTCCACCTCTACCTCCGTTCTTCAGTCTCTGAGCTAAAGGGACAATAAAAACCCTTTTTACTGATTATTTCTTTATCATTTATTTCTTTTTCCATCTCTCTTCTAGTAGATCGGTGTTTTCTTGCTATGTGTGATTATCTGCAGTATTTATTAAGGAGTTATCGTAGGTTTTTGGAACCAATTCTAGGAATTACAAAGTATTCTGATGGAAGATTTGAACCAACACACCAATATTTAACACAGAAGTCCTCCTGGAACCAGTTAGACTCTGTTATAGAGGTTCTGCTGGATTTATTCTGGATATTTATGTGGTATTGAGTTCCTGCTGATCCGTGTTTTTATGGGAAAACTGATGAGTTTATCCACTAGAACTTAAACAGCTTTTACTGTGATTGAAAAGTGTCTGGTGACCAGCAGGGGGCGCCAGAGAGCAGCAGCTTCCTGTTTGGGGTCTAATGAGGAGAAACCTTCCCTCATGTCAGAGGAAAGCCATACAATTAATACATTTAAAGCTTTTAAGTTACTGCTTTATTCCTATTATGTCTAATAGCATCAAACCGGCTCTCTGGGAGCTTTTTGTGTGTTTCTGGTTTGATTTTTATTACTTTTTGGTCTTTTTTTCCTGTACTTTTTGTCAGAGGAGCTTGTTTTTTTTCTTATTTCTTATATTTTCTGTGTCTCTTGTATAATTTTTCTTTTTTTTTTCCTTTTTTTTTTCTTATTGTGGTTGCTTTGTGCTTCTTTCTGACGGTTTCCTGCTTTTTTTGGATTTATTGTGTCCTTTTTCTGTTATTTTGTGTTTCAGAGTTTCTTTATTCTCGGCTAATCAGGATTTTCAACCCAATTTCCTGTTTTTTTCCCCCAAAATCTCAGCCACATTCAGCCACTAAAACTCTCTTTTCTGTTCAGGAATGACAGGAAATAAAAAATAATCTGACAATTAAACAGAAATAATTATGTTCTTTACTATTTTTTTAATTTTGTAGTAAAACAGAATATTAGAAAATGTTTTGAAAACAATATTAATTATATTTAAGAGTTGGAACTTCTACATAATAATACAGAATAATACATTTGCAAAGTTTTTAAGGCTTTAAAAGATTTTCTTTGAATTTCTGTTAGACTCCAGACATTTGTGGAGTACAAACTATGTTTTAAAATCAGATCTCAAAGCCAAGAGTTCGAACTTTTTCATTAAAATGTCCCATCAAATCAAATGGATCTTTTGGGCCTTTTTTTGGTCAGAAATGTAACATTTATAGTTGCGTTTCTACTACTTTTGGAGCCCCTTTTTCCTCTCTCTGTTGGCCAGCTGCTATTTTTTATTAAACTGTCCCAGCCACAGTCTTCAGGCCTATATTTAGTCCGGTCTGAGCGTGGCCAGACGCTGCTTTTTGAGTGTGTGGATTAACTTTAAATGCCTCAGAATTGTAGTGAAAAGCCATTATTTCCTGCCCTGAATTGGCTTTTACCCCAGATATTGCCCCGGCCCCCAGAGGCTTACCCCCACTGGGCGGAGGTGGTCAGGACTCAGGGCTTTTGGGATAATCTCTGAATTCCAAATCAATCTGGGAACATTGGGGCCATTTTTATAAAACAAATCTGAGCCAAACAAAGGTTTGACTACAATAAATCCTGTTTTCCGTTTTGGTTTTGCTGCTCTTGCTTCTCATCTTTATCTTATTCGCAGCCTTTAAAAGTCAGACGTAGGTTTTTCTGTGTTTCAGTCCTAAACAAAACAAACAAAACCAGATCAAACTTCTATAATTGAGATTTTTAGTCTTCATTTTGTATATTTTTGGTCCAGTACTCATATCTATTAATGACTACTGTAATTTATCTAGTTAAGTTTTAATTGAATCAGTTTCTTTGTGAACATTTTGTTAGATGTGTGTATTTATTTATTTTTATCACCTGTTTTGCTTATAATATGGCTTCCAAACCAAATTAATACCCAGTTTTCCGTCTTTGTTAACAGTCCTCCGTTTGTTTTCTTCAGTCTTTGATCAAAACTCAAAGATATCCAGCAGGTATTTTGCTTTGTTTTGTTCTTTGTTTTGTTCTTTGTGAGTTTGAACAGCACAAACTGGAAGTAACTGAATGCTTAACTGATCTAAAGACCGTTTTTCCAGAAGCGTCTGTACGTTTTTAGTAGATCCAGTCGTACATTTAGGTTAAAAACAACATTTCTCTACTGTAATTCCCCTTTTCTGTCACATGGGCAGCATGCAGGCCTGCAGAAGATGCTGAAAGACTTCATTCTTTGTTTTTTCATTGAAAGAAAAACAAGATTTTCTTCTAAAAGAAATTTAAAAAAAAATGTTTTCTTAGAACAACATTTTAAATGAAAAAAACTTTTTTCATAATTAAAAAAAAAAATCCTGGAAAGAAAAAAAATTGACAAAAATTTGTTTTTTTTTTCACAGAAAGAAAAAAAGATTTCACATTTTTTTCATAGGAAGAAAAATTTGTTTTCTCATAGAACGGGATAGAAATCATATAAAGAAAAAATACATTTTCTGAGAGAAAAAACATTTTTTCAAGACATATTTTTTCACAGGAACACAACAAATTTTGTTTTTCATAATAAGAAATTAATTAGTTTTTTCATAAAAAGAATTTTAAAAACTCATCCAAAGACAAAATTGTCATGATTTTTTTTTCATAGACAAAATTCTGTGTCTGTGTCTCTCTCTCTTCCATCTAAATGTCAAACACAGTTCAGGTTCCACACGATGGTTTAGAAAGTTGAAACATTTTATTAGCGAGTTTCCACTTAAAACGTGGACGTGTACAGGAGGCACAGTCAGAACAAACCAGCAAAAGCTTTGATCCAGTTTCTGTTAAATACATTTAAGATTTGATTCAACACCAAACACGCATCTGAAATACATTTGATATCCAGAATACAGCTACAGAAATATTCTAAATATTTTAATATCATATCACAATGACCCAATTTCTCCAACACTGTGTATTTCTCAAGAAATTAGTTTAAATAGTGACAGAAATATAGCTGTACAAAGTCACTAAAAAGGTACATTTTCATGGTAGAAGTCGATGTAATTACAAACCAAAACTTATCTTTCCAATAACTCTTCTCCTGCAGCACCACAAAGCTATTTTCAAATTATTTTCCTTTAACAATTCAATTTAATATTTTCTATCAAAGCAAATCAAACTGTAGAGTCTCGTTTAAGGAGAAAATACCAACATATATATGTCAATTTCTTCATCAAATTAAAGAAATCTGAAGAAATGATGGTTTCACTACACTGAGAATTGAGAAAAAAACATGAAATATATATTTCTTTGGTCTGTTTTGGACCAGGGGGGGCTTTATTACTTTTAAGCCTGTTTTGTTGACATTTCTATTTGCTTCATTTGTTTCAACATTTCCACTAAAACTGAGTTTAAAGAGGCTGCTGCCCCTTTAAGACCCCTCTGCTCTGATTGGCCAGCTCCAGTGGCCTGATTAGGCTTTACCAACCGGTCAACACCTTTTAAAAACTTTAAATTGTCTGTTTCCAGCATTAATGCACAGTGAGTCTTAGTTTTTTTCATTTAATTTCAGAAAACAAAGTTGGTGGAATTGTTTTAATAACACAATGAGGTTTAAATGGGATATTAATCAAATCAATATTTAAATAATTGTTGATCTATTCAACTCAGTTGGGCTTCTAAACCTCAAATAAACAATCAGAACCTGTTCCTGGTGGCTTTTTATATGCCACCTCCATTATGATCCAGCTGGGATGTTTTTATAGTGTAAATAAATAAAAACAACTTTAAATATGCCAAAAGAAGACTGACGAACTTTGTATGTTTGTATTTGAATTTCTATACTATTGTTTTTTTATACATTTGACCTTTTTTGGCTGATTGTAGCTAATGCTAACTAGCTACTGTTATTTAGCCAGCTAGCTAGGAGGTAAAATACATTTTGTGGAGCAAGAAAATTTTTTTGTGCATATATATACACACACACATATATATATATATATACACACACACACATATATATATATATATATTCTCTAGAGATGATTTTGCAAACCAAGTCTGAGTTTGATTAATCAGTTTTTAGATCCAAACTGGAACCTTTTAATCTCCAAATACTATTTTAATTAGTTTGTGTGTTTATTTTGTGTTATTACGCATTAACACATCAAATCAGCGATAATATTTAATTTAGATCATTAGCAGCCATTTCATTACCTGTATTAGTATTTATAGGATCTTTTTATTTGCTAGTAGTTTGAACCGTTGAAGCCAAAGTAAATAATCAGTCTGATTTTAACAAGATTTATGTTAATAAACCAAACGATTTATTCAAAAAACGTCTCAAAATGAGAAATCAGAGACATCTTCTCTGCAGGACAAAGTTAAACAGGGACTCCAGACGTCATCATCCCCGTAAATAACTCCACCTGAGAAGGTGTAAATGAGTGTTTCTGTCACTAGCATCATTAGTGGGGGGGTTAATCATCTGCTCTATTCAGCTTGTCGTTTTGTTTTAAGGATTTTAAGTCTTTAAGATTTTAGATATTACATACAGGAGAAACTGGGTTTAAAAGAAAGAAAAACTACTTTTATGAGTTAGAAATAACTTCCAGAGCTTTGAGCTCAGCATGGTCAGAATGAGTTCTTTACTCTGAGGCTTTAATTCAGATTTAATTCAGAATATTTAATAGAAATAGAACTCATTCTGGACTTGTGTTGGGGAGTTTTGCTTTTCTAAAGGCCTGAGTGTGTGTGTGTGTGTGTGTGTGTGTGTGTGTGTGTGTGTGTGTGTG